TGGACTAGTATATATATATAATAGTCCAAAAGGCTTGACAAAATTGGAAAAAATAAGGAATAAGTAAAATGTTGTAACTACCTGATGTGACCGGCGTTTTTTTTGAAAAAAGTTTAATTTTGAAAAAAAATTAGTATTTATGCCTATTTCACCCCTAGTGTATCCATGAGTTTCATAAAAAAATCAGTCAATATAATATATATTTTATATAAGAGCAAAGAGTTTTTTATATATAGATGAATTTCTTTGTGTACATATATTTATATATATATATATATATATATATATATATATATAAGCATGAACATAAACTTAGACTTCAAGTCAAGAAAGATCCTAAATTAGGGTAAGGATTTACAGCCATATACGTTTTTTGCAAATAATTTGATTTTTGATAAAGATATAACACAAAATTTCGTAAACAATGAACATGCCTATATTGGCGATGTTGTAATTTGTAGTGGATTAAAAACTAGAGCTAATGAGGAATATAAGATGAGCAAAATTCATGCAAAGAATTAATCGTAACAAGTTCCCCAGTAAAAAGAGGTTTCTAAATGACTTTCCATTTTAATTTTGTATGTCTGATTAACAACTATACCTTTTAAACTTTTACAGTAACAACCCTGAGAAAGATATCGTCGTTTTTCTGTCTAAAAATGTGTAAAGTTGGGATAATGTTCTCCTTTGTCTCTGCTCATCAAATTTCAAGAGAATTATAAAGAAAAACTCTAAAGGGACAGACCGGCAATGTAAGGTAGATGAACTGAGTATGCAGTGTTGTGGAAAGTTTCTTTAAGAGAATTAACGTCGAATTTGCCCTCAACTCAGGATTTACAGATCTTTAAAAAGTTTTATATGTCTCAAATGAATCCGAAAGAAGTTTTCTACAACACTGCATACTCAGTTCAACTACCTTACACAGCCGGTCTGTCCCTTTAAGATGAATTCAAGAGATTTATGCTGCTTGTTTCTTTCAGAGCAGAGCAACAGCGATTGTTTGAATTATTGGATGGTGTTACATTTCCAGTTTCACATCCAGGTAGATTCATTGATTTATTCATTTATTAATTGATTGATTGATTCATTGATTTATTGATTGATTCATTGATTTATTGATTGATTTATTAATTGATTTATTGTTTGATTTATTAATCGATTAATTGATTATTATTTGATTGATTGCTTAAATGATTGACTGATTAATCAAATGCTTAATAAATTGATCTATTGATTTATTAACCAATTGATCGTTGTTTCTTTGATTGATCAAGAAGTTAATTGATTGGCACATTTATTTTTTTTAATCTTTCAAATGAATTGATTTATTGATTAATTGATTTGACCACAGTTACAGAATTGATCATTTGATTATTTAGTTGATTTGACGTCAGTGGAAGGATTAACTGGTTTAGCGATATCTCTGTTGGAAACATTACAGGTCAAATTAAAAACATTTTTAAAAATCTTATATTTGATCTTATTTGTTCTTTTTAGGATCGCCAAATTCAGATGAGACATCTCCGATCCAACAATAGGTATTTAAGTTCCACAAACAATGTCCGAATTTAATGAATTTGAGCCGCCACCTAAATCTGTCAAAAACCGGTTTCAATTGACCACCGGCTTAAATCTTTAAAAATTGAATACAATTTTAAGTGGAACCAACAATATTTGAGCCGCGGCTCAAATTTAAGCCTCGGCTCAAATTCTTTAAATTCGGCCTCAAGTTCCACAAACATTGATTATTTTAAACATTTTCCTTTCTTAAACTTTATGCCAATTTTTGACCCTGAGAGAAAATATATAAAACAAACGAACCAAAAATTAACGTTTTTTTAGTTCCTATTTCGTTTTTTTCTTATAGTTTTTTTTCTGTTTTACTCAAATTATTTAAAAGCAGGTCGATAAAGCTACTTAATCACCCTGATTGTAGGGTGATTAAGTAACTTTATCACCCTACAATGAGACAAATTAGGTTTGAAATTTTAATATATTAACTTTTTAAAAAATTTGAGTAAAACTGAATAAATCTGTTTATGTTATTGAAATGGGTGCACACACGTTCGGTGTGAAAATACTTTCATTTTGATCTTAAACAAACTATAAAAAATAAAAATCCCGGCAAAAACTTTTTCGCATTTTATATTACCCATTACAATGACATAAAAATATAAAGTTAATCAAAAGCAAACTTTCACTTTGAAATCTCGGTTGGTTTTACTGAAAATTTTTAAAAAAGATAAACAACCAGTTAATGATCAACGTCGCCTATTGTGCATAATTTTGAATATTTTTCCTTTTGAAAAATAGATATTCAAAATATTTAAACATAGTTAAAACTACACCATTTATATATCTTTGTGTGTGAATAAACCTTCATAATAAACCCAACATGAAACAGGTAAATGGTAGATTTTTATTAATTGCAGGGATTTGGCTGGTAAACTGCTTCTATTGGAGGATGCAGGAAGCACCAAATCTAAACCTACACAGGTTAAATCACGCTTTTAAAGAAATTGTAACCCCCTACCGCACCAAGAGGCCATTATTGGCTTTAACCTAACCGAGAGCTTCGTTCTAAAAAACAAGTAACAGGAAAGCCAAAAAATCCTTACTTAAACAATCAAGATGAAAAGGTTATTTTGCCAGTTATATCATTTAAGAAGTTAGTGAATAAAATAAATGATTTTTAGTTCATACATAAATTAGTTCTAGAAATAACTAATATGCATTTATCCCTTGATGCAAAAATGACATTCCCTTATTTCTGAACACTAATTCATGCATTCATCCCTCGATGCATAAAGGTTAATTCACAATAATGCCCGTTAAGCCTTAATCGTGATTTTTTTTCTTGAAATATGCTAATTTTTGTCCAAGTTTCTTATCTCTGCAGAACAGTCCAAAACTCATTCTAAATAAGAAATCAAAATAGAAAACTTTCAAAAATCGAACAAAAAGTATGCATATGCAATCTTAGTTATCATTTTGATAAAACGGAGTGGTTAAAAAACACCTAATAATATAACACCTAAATTTAAAACACATGAATTTCAAAAGGCCTAAATGTCAAAACGCCCAACAGAACACCTCAAAACTTGTTTTAAACATCATTAAGATTTAATACCCAAAGTGTCAAAAAACCTTGTTTTCAACACACCTAAATTACATGTAAAGGTTAAAAACATCTTAAATTTTTACTTTAAATGAAAAAACTCTTTAATATTTAAAAAGCTGATCTATAAACATTTAGCTGTTTATTTTCTTTTTTTCTTTTTTGCCTTTTCATGAAATTTAGATATCTGTTCATTCAAAAAATTTCCTTTTAAAATTTTGATGTTACATTTCGATCCTAAAATGAAATTTTGGAGGTTTTGAAAACTTAGATATTTCTGCACTTTAGGTGTTTTGTTTTTAGGTATTTTCAAACGTGGGTGATTTAACATTTGATGTTTTGAAATTAGATGTTTTGAAATCTAGGTGTTTTGAAGTATATTTATTATATCATTAAAAAACTGTATCTACTTTGAATAGCACTGTATAAATGTTCAGACCTTGTTGCAACCATTGGCCAAAACTAACAGTTCAGATGAAATGGATTTCGACAAACTAACCGTTCTGATCCAAACCAAACTTGAAGAGAAAGCTTCACAAGATGGCGTCACCTCTACCCACCTGGAGTGCATTCAACTTCCGGAAGTATTTAAAGATCAAGAGCAGATCGAAAAAGAAAAAGAAGAAATTGAAGAAAATGTTCGAAAAATCATTGAGAGAGAAGAGGCGAGAAAAAAAATAGAGGATCTAAGTTTTGTTGTTGAAAATAAATCGGAAAGAAGAGAAAAGAGTATAAAAGAAGAAGGATTACAAAGAGCATTGTCTGGAACTAAAACCCCAGATATTCTCAGCTTTGTCAGGTAAATTAAAGCTTTATTGGGTAAATCAAAACATAAACAAACAAAATGTGAACATAGCAGACGAAACTCTTACAGATTTCAGCTTTCTCAGTAGGTATCACTATACTAAATCGAAGAATTATTTATAAAGACGATATCGAATTCGTCGCTGAATTCCCATGTTTATTTGGGACGCCCTGGAGCAATACAAAAATTAATTGAAATTAACTTTGGATTTTTATTTGTTAAAAAGCTTAATAATTATATTTATAAATAACCATTGCATCAAAGACAAGTTTACATAAATTACATAGAAATGCACTTTTAATTGGCCTTTTATAGATTTTATCAAAAAATATGCTGAAACTTTTTCGATAGATTTATTGGATACAATGAACATATACAATATAATCAATAGATCACGTTTTTTAATGAAATTATTGATTGTTTTATCTTTAAAGAGTCTAATTTCGATCCTTATTACCACAAATTTAGATTCAAATACAGTGGTAGGCGTTTACATAATACAATCACGACGACTTTTTTATTTTGATTTCTAGCCACTTTTCTTAAAATTTTAATTTTCAAGTAAACATTAAAAGAATCTGACTATTAAAAGCTTCTCTCAGTTTTCATATTTACAATTATAACTGAAACTTTTATATATGTCTTTAAAGCCTTATATAAAAGAGCTTTCTTATGCGATTTGAGAAGCAACAGTTAAAATAGGGTTTGAACAGGACCAACAAAATGTCTTTCTTTTACGTGAATCAATGATTAATTTATCACTTGTCAACCAATTTTCCATTTTTACTAAATAAATAATATGAAATTATTACTTTATGCTTAAGTTATCTATAATATAAAATTAAACTAAGTGTGTTCTACTGAACATTGCAATATGAAGACGACCATTGACATTACCCTTTCCTAGTTCCAATATCAGAAAAAATTCCTATTAAATATATGTTCAATATAAATAGACCCATTTTTCTTGGGTTTCAAGCTCATTGTAAAACTATTTGCTTATCATTATCTAAACATAAGATTGCTAAAATATCGTCTTCTTGTTCAACAATTTTATAAGGTACCACTGTATGTACACAATAAAAACTTTTCATCTGAGCATATTCAATATTACACTTGTTCATCTTTAAATTAATAATCAAATATATTCTAGTCGAGTAGCTGTTCATTCAACAGAGGAAGCAGAAAACTATATAGATGAAGACGACCTGGAAATAATAAATATTAATCAATTGTAAAATTATACAAAAAAGAACTGATTATCAGCAGCAAACTCTAGTATCATAATCTTTGCAACCTGGTGCTGAACAGTTGTACATATCTTAAGCTGAATTCTGCTAAATCTACCAAACAAAGTTTGAAATTTTCTAACATGTTGTACATTTAGGTTGCAAAGATACCAGGATTGCAAAGTAATCATTCTACGAACTTTTATCGCTTGTTGAACTTGTCATGAGTCTAATTTGTGCCAAAATAAAGATGAAATATAATGAATTACAAAACAGAATAAAAAATTTAAAAAATCATCAAATGTAGAGATTTAAAAACTTATCAAAAAATTCAAAAATGGACTTTTTTTAATAATCACATGCAAAACCTGTTCGATTGTTGCCATAATAACAAAAAGTTTAGCATTAACATTCCAATTATTTGTAAATGAAGATTTTACTAATACGTCAAGCAAATTAAATAAAGTGTTAGTTTTTTATTAAAACTGAAACAAAACAAAGATTATTTTCTCGTATCTTTCATAATTAATTAAATTTTACACTATTGACGAGAACGGAGATACAATACAACCAATCACATAACTTTCTGTACCTTGAAATACCACTAAAATACAACTAATAAAGATGTCTTCTTCACTTTTGGCTTTTTCTGTGTGATTTTGCCAACAAGCAACAAAATGCAAGAACTCTAATAATTATATAATATTTTTAAAATTTTTTAGTTTTTTACATTTTAATGATTTAAAAAAAAATTTGTTCAGATTTTCTACATTAAAAAATATTATTTCCTGAAAAGTAGAGTTAGCAGAACTAAACACAGAATATCGAACCAGAAATTATCCTAAATACAAGAAAAAAAATTTTTGACTATTTTTTGAGTTTTCTTCTGATATATTTTGAAATAATTATGAAATCAACCCCTAAACCTAAATAAATCAACCCTAAAGTAGAGGAAATTTTCTAAAAACATAATGATTTCGATTTTATGACAAAACAACTTAAATGTATCTCCAAGTATAGAGTAGCAGATTCGATAGACATTGGTACCCTTAAATTTGAAATTAAAAACGACAGTTTCTTTATTTCAACAAATGCGGCCCAAATATGTTGGGACCTTTCTGTTGAATAACCAAAGAAAATTTCGAAAATTCACCAATTTTTGTTTTATATAAAGTACCATCAAAGGGTTTGAATTGTTACTAGAAACCCAGGGCAAAGTGCCATCAACTATTTTTTTTATGAAATTACCTTGTGGAAGCCATATTGTTGTAAAACTTCATCGCCATGTTTAATACAATGAACAGCTGATGTTACATTACTGTTTATCAAACCCCCGTCATCAACCGAGTCCGAAAATCCACCAAAAGTTGAGTTTTCTGAAAACAAAGACGACATATAGAGAACACAAAAACTTATTTATTAATATTATTCCTGGAAGTGATAGGAACAGATTTAACACTTTTTTCCCGTCAAACTCTGGACTTACTGTAAAGAAAAACATTTGTATATACTAAAACTAAAGTATAAATATATTTTTGTCTGTTAGTTTGTTTATTTGTATCCGCGATCCAATCAATACCAACACTGCCCAAATTTGGTGCCAGGCATTTTATGACCCCAGAGAAGTTTTATTATCGCTAAAAATACAAAAATTTAACTTTCTCAAAATCTGTTTTCAATTCACCGGCAAAATTAGAATTATGCGATTCTTAAGTTCTATAATAAACAAAAATAAATTGTCAAAAGAGAATATATATATCCCATATGTTTTAATACAATTGAAGAGTACTTCTAAAATGTCGTCTTGACAATTACTTCTTGGATAATACAAATGAACATTATATGAACAGAATGAAGTATATACTGAAGCTGTCTGTAAATTCCCAAGCTGTTAAATTTTAAACAAAAATAATCTAAATTCTATATTTTGATGAAGATAACTAAATAGCCCTGAAATGCACAGAAAAATTATCAAACAATTCAAAACAATTAGGCCGTGAATTGTTTCATTAAAACACACAAAATCCGCGGTATTTAATCATTAATACTAAATAGACTTGGAAACAATATTTTGATAAGTCCGTCATTGTTGTCGTTGATCTCAAAATTAACTATTTTTGCCGTTTATTAGCGAAATCTTCAGATAATTTTCAAAAACTTGAAAGAACATTGTCCAGCCCTTACTGTACCTGGGGCGTTAGTTTGACAGCTGATATTTGCAAGACCGCTCCATTGATTTATCATCAAAGCTTCGAATGAATAATGGAACCAGGAGAGATATTTTAACCAAAGAAAATAAACAGGAATACTCCTGAATCAGTAGATACAGTGAGAACCAGAAAAAATTAAAGATAAACACCGACATTTTAAAATTCTAAGATCTAAATAACACTATTACAGAAAGATATAATTTCATATGGATTCTTTCAATTATAAGATAAAATTCTGATATATTAAAAAATAAACAACTAAGAGCTCGTATTCTTATGCATAAATAAAAAATAAGCAAGAAATTCGAAAGAACCCGGGTGGGGGGGGGGTTGACGCAAAAATGTACACAATGAGTATCTGACAGAGGTATTGGATTAAACATGTTTGACGATTAAATTGGTTCAGTTTCAAATTCCAATTTTTGGCAAAATATGTGCATTTCAGATAAGCAAACAGTTTCTTAAATTTACCCATCGTTCATGTAAAATCCGCCCATCAGCAGGAGAGGAATATTGATAACAGGAGCAACTGTCAGAGCAATGTCAAGCTTGGGAACTGCACACGATAGAAGATAACCTGGAATTGGAGGTGACATTAGAACGCAATGTCGAACTTCAATCGCACATTACAGAAACTAGATTATTTTGCAGAATTTACGGTGAAAAAAAAATTTAAATACATTGGAAGACTAACAATACTTTTAATGTTTATTCAAATCGAAAATAAAACCATGATTGAAATTGTATATAAAAACTTAAAAAGTTTTTAAAAAAATTTTACTTTTCGCCTTTTTTCAGTCCAATATAGATATGTCATAAGGGTATAGATTCAATATAGATTCAATATTGATATGTCAAAAGGGTTTAGATTCAATTTAGATTCTATATAGATATGTCAAGAGGGAATAGATTTAATCTAGATTCAATATAGATATGTCAAAAGGGAATAGATTCAATATAGATTCAATATTGATATGTCAAAAGGGAATAGATTTAATAAAGATTCAATATCGATATGTCAAAAATATGGTCGTTTAAAATTTTATTTGATTATGTGACCTCTGATTTTTGTTGTGACTGAAAAGGTAAATTTATAAAAAAAATAAAATACCAACTCCAAGAACATCTTGTGTAAGCAGAATTACAACTAGCAGTGCCCACAGAAACTTCACAATATCTAAAAAAAAAAAACTCATCTTTATTCATCTATAATGATTCAAGAATTCAGAAAACTAAGGAATAGGAAGACGACTTCTAAAACTTCTAGACTCATGTTTTGACTTTAAATTGTCCTGTAAACATGAGAAACTGCAAATGTGAAGTGTAGACAGAGTCATTTCACTTAATAACTTATTTGATAGCTACTAGTAAAACTATATACTTAGAAACAATATCAGAAACAATATAAAAAAAACTTAATTATTGCATTAATGTCGTCTTATATTCTTCAGTTTTCTGGCTTTGACTTATTAACAATTAAAACTTATTAACAATGAGACTTAAACCTAGTGTAAAATCCCGATTTTTGTTTTAAACTCCAGCTCTCGTGTCTTGTGTCTTGTGTCTTGTGTCTTGTGTCTTGTGTCTTGTGTCTTGTGTCTTGTTGTCTCGTGTCTCGTGTCTCGTGTTTGTGTTTCGTGTCTCGTGTCTCGTGTTTGTGTTTCGTGTCTTGTGTCTCATGTCTCATGTCTCATGTCTCATGTCTCATGTTTACCTGGATCAAAGCCGACCATGAAGTATATAATGGTTGTAAAGAGCATAGGTTGTAGGATAAATATTGGTATTTGAACAAGCTGGAATAGAAATATTTTGTAAAAAGTTATTGATCTTTTCTAAATCTGATCAGATTCAAAATCAATCTTTTAAAATTGATTTAAAGAGAATATTGTAGAGGATGAAATCCCCGAAAGAGGATTATGGAATCCGCAAATCAGTGGTGTCGGATCTTGTGACCAGAGAAGACCTACCCAACTTCCTCTTCTTTTATATACTCGTTATTTATCATGTAATTATATCTAGAAGCAATATATGTACTTCTAAAATATCTTATTATCTTAAAAGATCTACTATTTACAAAGAGACCAGAGGCATTCCCGATTCACTACACTGATCTGAAATTTTTTATCTGATCATTTGCGAAAATAATTTAATCTCGAGGGTCGACAAGGGTCGCTTTTAAATTGCATCTACAGTCTTTTTAATTATTTATCTTTACCTGTTTGGTAAGAAAGTATGTATCTGCTCTGTACATTCCATTAAAATGTTCTCGTAGGTATATTGGCAGCTCTAAATAGGAGATTTAGTTTAGGGGACACAAGTTCCAAACTGTGCTTATGTTCTAAAATCTGACACTGAGTGTCAGGTTTGGGCACAAACATATTAATTATCGTTTAGAGACACTTCATTTACACAAACTATGCTAAACATTATATATCCAATGTTAGGTTTGCTGGGACAAATCACGGCTAAGACCTTTCCTATATTGTAATCTTAAAATGATGATCTTATCTATTTTTAAATTCTATTTTTACATTTAAAAAATGCGTTCTTTGTCAGCTATGCATATACTGTATATTTACAGGGCAGATATGAGATCATGTCCCATGCTGGAAATTCAATGATTTCCAACACCAAGAATTGTCAAATTGCATCCATTGATTTAAAGTAAGTGAAACTAGCCCACGCCCTAGCAGGAACAGGCCAATATTCATATATATACATGACATTGAAGAATGTCAAACATGAAACACAGTGTCCAGCAATAAACTATATTAAATAAAAAATAGAAAATGTTCTGAACTTATTTTAAGAAGATATATATATATATATATGAATATATGTATATTATTTCATTAACCTGAGCAGAAGACATTAAGTACAGGGAAAAGATTGCCGAATGAAAGGTTGACAATGATCAAGAAGAATGCTCCATTGAGGTTCATGATCCCGGGTTGATCCAGCTCCTGGTTCAGAAACACGATCCCGATGATCAGTGACATTATCTAAACCAGTTTTATAAATAAAATTTTCACTGAACGGAATTTATTAATTGGAGATGTTGCTGAACTATACCTACGGCCGGTTCAAGTACTGAATCACCAATTCAATGTTAACGATATATGAGGAAGTGAGTGGATGATTCAGAATTTGAACTGGCGTTGGCTAGTTGAATGAACTCTTCAATTTATTCAATTAATTAAAAAAGTCTGACATTTGTACTGTACCACCTTTGTAGTGTACAACACTTGTACTGTACCACCTTTGTAGTATACGACATTTGTACTGTACCACCTTTGTAGTATACGACATTTGTACTGTACCACCTTTGTAGTATACGACATTTGTACTGTACCACCTTAGTAGTATACGACATTTGTACTGTAGTCTGTACCACCTTTCAAGTATACGACATTTGTACTGTACCACCTTTGTAGTATACGACATTTGTTCTGTACCACCTTTGTAGTATACGACATTTGTACTGTACCACCTTTGCAGTATACGACATTTGTACTGTACCACATTTGTAGTATACGACATTTGTACTGTACCACCTTTGTAGTATACGACATTTGTACTGTACCACCTTAGCAGTATATGACATTTGTACTGTACCACCTTTGTTGTTTACGACATTTGTACTGTACCACCTTTGTAGTATACGACATTTGTACTGTACCACCTTAGTAGTATACGACATTTGTACTGTAGTCTGTACCACCTTTCAAGTATACAACATTTGTTCTGTACCACCTTTGTAGTATACGACATTTGCACTGTACCACCTTTGCAGTATACAATATTTGTACTGTACCACATTTGTAGTATACGACATTTGTACTGTACCAACTTTGTAGTATACGACATTTGTACTGTACCACCTTTGTAGTATACAAAATTTGTACTGTACCATACGATATTTACCATTGAATTTGTCCCCTTATATATACCAAAAGAAAAAATTGTTTAGACCTCATAAAATGGAAATTCAACAATGAATTTCGTGTTAAACCATCAACAAAAATATTATAGTCAAAAAGAGCCCCAACACCATTTCTAAGCGTTTAAACAAATTATTTTTGAAGATTTTTATTTTTATCTAATCATCCAAGTATTTTCTTAATTATTAGGGATATTACCTATCTATCTACTATCTATAATCAAAACAATTTATACTTTAAAAGTTAAAATTTGCTAAAAGGAATCTTACACATACAGGTAAATTGTAGAATAATTTCTAATGATGTTTTGTACCAGGTTTATTTTGAATATTGGTCGAAAAGAAAAATAACGATCTAATCAATCAATTTGTTAGAATTCAAGCATTGTTGCATAAACTTTTATAAACATTGCTTACCACTGTTTGAATGAATTTGACTTTAACAAGCCGTGAGTTCCTGATCAAAGAAATCCATTCCCTCCAAACCAGAGCCGTAAACTGTTGGATCCAGGAAGCCTTTTACCAAAGATTAAACTTTTGGTTTAAAATTGATTTCCACTGCATTCACTTTTAAATCAAACAATTTAATTTTAACTATTTGTTTCTACATCAAGTCCTCCAAGCTGTGCTTACCAATTCATGGGCATCATTTTGAGGTCTGTTTTCAATCTTTCAAGGTTATTTGACTTTTTAGAGGCTTCACAAGAATCTGAGATAATAAAAATGTTATTCTTGATAAGTTTGCTTTCATTACTTAAAGGGACTGTAAAGAAAAAAAATGAAAGGGGTATATGCAAAAAGCTAATCACTGTTCATGTGATACAGAAGAGACATGTGACTAATATACTGCACTACCATTGGTGGGAGTACTGGTGACGTAATACGGACTTATGAATAATATTATCAATTATATCTATTAAAGATAAAAATAAATATTATAAAATAATAATTCCCCTTTCAGTTTTCCTATACAATCCCTTTAATTCAAAATGTTCACTCTGGCCAGAGATATCTTCCATGACGATTTTTCGTAATAATTGCTAAAAATTATTTCAGTTAATATCATTGATTTGAGAAAAATGTCACCTAATGTAATTAAAAACAAACTTGTAGAAAATTGGATTTTGTTGGGTGTCAAACATCTGAGAATCCTTGAAAGCACACTTGAAGCCAAAAAAAAGCTAAATGACTAAAACACCAATTGTGAATGGAGTATCAAAGAATCATATTAGATTTAGATAAAAAACTGGAGTTTAGACCTATGATATTTCATAAATTGTACAGCAGAAATAAACCAATGTCATTAATCTGTGCCTTGTAAACACTTTCCCGCTTTCCAATCAAAACATTAGAGAAAGTATCTGAATAAAAAAGTAAGCTTTAAAAAAACTTAATTCTGAAGTATCAAAAATATCAAAGTTGTTTTACCAACAGATAATTATTAAAAAAAGCTTTAATTGAGTTAAACTGAAAATCAACAAAAATTATTTTTATCTATCTATATATATACTTCGCTTTTTTGTTTGTTTGTTTGTATCCAATTTAAGTCAAAAATCCAAAAAAAAAATTTTGTTTAACTGCGCAAGGGTCGCAATCAAGAGCTAAAGTGATTAGCTTTTAGCCTATACTCCCTTTCAGTTTTCCTTTACAGTCCCTTTAAATGGTCTAAAATGCAGTTCTAGAAATTGTCAGGACAAAGTCTAGAAAAAATGTCAACCTAGCTTGGAGTATTTTGAAGTTTTAAAAAGTACAGTTGAAAGTATTATTGCAAAAAAGATAGTTCAATTTATCTGAAAGTTATGTTAGAAAAACATTTAATAAAAATGAAAATAGAATAAATTTTAAAGAAAATATTACCAGGTTTGTCAATGTTGGATATTTCTCTTGTTACCATTTCATCCAAGATGGTTCCCTCATCACTTTTCTATATATTTTTTAAATTATAAAGGAATATATAGCTCAAAACATCTTCTTCTACATATTTCTGCTTATGTGTGTGGGTGGGGTGGGAGGTAAATTTTTTTTTAAATCATCAATTTAAGATTTATTAATTTTCTCTCATTCACCAATTAAAACCATGAAGACAAATCTGCACAAACAATCCTAATTTCTGGAGAGAAAAAGAAGTTTTCAAGACGTTCATACTGTGAACCCAACCAAGGGTTCTCCAGCTTGTATCGTAGAGTTCATTGCTTCCAAGTCGAGAAATAATGCCTAACAAATCTATCCAAAAATAAAGCCAAACAATCTAAACCCAAGCCCAAGAGGATATTGAACCCTGAGTATGTTGCAGCCTGAGTATATAACAGGGTATATATATTCATACATATACAATTTAGAATAGAAATGGTAGGTTAAGACTTATTATTAAAACCTTTCTTATCTGGTAGATATACGGTTTAAAAGGCAGAGTTAAGTTATGATCAATGCTGGAGAAAGGAGTGAAACGGCATTAATCTAGTTGGGGAAGAAAGGATTGTGGTCGGCCATCTTATACCCCAAGACTAGGGCAGTTCTCACAAAGTTTCTGATCAGAAGAGTCTACTGGAGATATATACGCCTCAGACGAATGTCAAGAATATTTCGATCAACTTTAGTTGGTCCAACACTAATTGTTTGTATTGTCATAATGTAAATATAGTTTGTGTGCAACCATGCTTTGTTATTCCACCCAATGTTAGCTTTTTACTACAGAGATCTTTTCAATTTTACAATACTTATTTATGCATGTTGACACCATTAACAGGAGGTTGTCTTTTTTTGGTTGAAGGAGGGGTTGGTCCATGTCACATTCAAAAAAAAAATCCCCATTTTAAGATTTATTGTTTTTTTTTGCTAAAATAATATGATAAATTTTACAAAATTGTGGTATTAGAATGAAACAATTATTAAAATTTTTGTTTGATATTTTATTAGATTGTGTAATGTCTACCTTGAAATTGTTACAAATGTTGGTTAAAAAAGCAAATCCATCCTCCTCTCTAGATCAGCTTTCATTGTGGTATTTCAGGGGTATTTATTTCAAAAACTTTATCCCCCCCCCTAAAAAATCAGAAAGAGGATTTTTGACAATGACATCAACTGGCAAGTTTATAATCTTTTTTTGACATTTTTAACCCAAAAAACTTGTTCATTTTCCTAAATTAACCAAATAAAAACTGGGAAGAAAAAAATTGCGCTATGTATATTCATATATAATTTCTTTTGAGGGTCATCTTATACTTTTCAAGGAAAAAATAACAAACTCTTCAGTGTGAAGATCAAAATAGCAGCCAAATTGACATTTTCCTAAAAACATACCCCAAAGAATTGGTTTCAGGATCCAAAATTATATTAACTCAGTTCATGGGGTTTGGGCATTGCTTTGATCCACCCTTATTACAATGAAAGTAAAAAATTCTAATTAGTTCAATTTAAAAGATGATAAATAAATAGATCAGACCGCGTGCACTGTTGCAATCTCATAAGTATTCACCAAGCATGTGAGTTAACCTTGATTGGATTTAGACACTACAGAAAAATTTGAAACAACAGCTCCAACAAACAGCAGGGACTAGGGAGGTCAATTTTGGACTTGGTTGTTGGTTTTCAGTCTGGATCTAGTTTAAGTAAGTGATTTTAATGCAGAGCTTGATTTGTAAGAAATGAAAATGATCCATTGAAAACTCCCTGTTGGGTTGGAGTGAGAGGGTATCCAGGAAGAAATCTGCAGGATTGTAGGTGAGAGGGCAGGGATATCCAATCCTTAACAGTTTACTTTGCTATATGAAACTATTCTTGTTAATTAAACTGATAAACTAATAGAATCCTGAAACAATGGACTGTTTTCCAAGAAACTAAAATGCAGATATACTTACATGAAGTGTAATATTCTTTATTTGTCCCTGTGATATTTTCTATCAATAAAAAATGGCATAAAACAGAGTCCAATGTTTTTGTTGTCTCATGAGTCATAAGCTTTTTTGAATAGCTGGAGTAGTTAAAATTATAATGATATAACTTATGAGAAAAGTTTGTTATAGAATCTATACCTGTTAAAGTATTGAACTGCCATGTTTGCATCTCCAAAGTAGGCGATCCTACCCTCAGTAAGCAGCATCAAACGATCAAACTTTGAGAATATAAGAGAAGAAGGCTGAAGCAGGATCAATCATTTCTTACCATTCAATAAATTTGTGTTATAATGTAAAAATCCATTTTTGGGAACAGACTAAAAATGCAATCCAATTTTTTGTGGCTTACAGTATAGTCACCAAAAAATTGTTGAATTATAAGTAGCAATATTGAGAAAAGCAACTCATTAAAAGTAATTTTAAAACGTGTCCAGCATCCAGAACTTTTGGATTGCATTTAGCTCACTCTCTTTTACATAACTATTTTTTAATTTTTTATTTTAACAATAATTTATAAATACATAGATGATATCAGATGCAAACATTATCTTTCATCGCATTTAGGCAAATTTTGAAGAAATTTTTTTTTGGGACATCCTTGCAGTTGCCATGCTGCTAGTTTTAAAACTTGGTTGAGAGACTCCTGCTTTTCTATTTTTCTTAACTCTGTTTTTCTTCTTATCTGACTCATTGCTGATTCAGTTAAAGAATTTAATTTATTGCTTTAACCAGACATGCTGATCAGGCTGCTTTCAGCATTAATTCATGACTGAGGCATTTTCTACATTTTGAGACCTCTCCAAGTAGTTCCTGAGACATTAAGTTGTTGAGGAGGAAGGAAAGAGATAAGGAATATATCAAAAAGATCAATGTTCCAAAATGGGGTTGTTGAGAAATACAATACAAAATTCAATGTGAAATTAAAATGGTAGAATGGATTGTATTCCTGGTGTATTGTACAGACCACTGTTCTTCCAAGCTTAGCCAATTCCAGAAGAGTTTCCACTACACTAAATTATGTTTTTTTATTTTTTTATTGCATAGAATCTTATGTACAACATTAAATTTAGATAAGATGTCAGATTAAAAGCAAAATGATTATTGATTATGGTTTAAATAATCTCTTTTCTATTATAAAATCGCATAAGACTTAGTAATTTGTAGGAATAATGAAATGCAGGACTTTGCAGAATGAATAATTTCTTCTATCTGTTCAATTACATATTTTTTCCAAACAACATTTCTAAGTAGCTTAAATTTTCTTAATTGTCATTTTGGAAAATGCATTTTGAAAAATGATCACTTGTAAGAAAGAATTTAAAAAAGTAAATCAAACTTGGTAATCAGTAATTACCAAAAACTTATTTTTTCAGTCATTTAGTAAAAATTTGAATATTTTCTTTTCAGACTGTCATTTTTTCTGTTTTTCTGATTGTTTAATAAAATTATTCTTTCAAAAAATTGTTTGTTCAAAAATCGCTTGTTTAGTAAAAACTATAGGTTTTTTCAAACCTATAGTTTTTAAAAAACAACATGGTTTTGCCAAAAATAATTTTTTCTAAACTTCGCTCTCAGAACTCGTTCTTCCATTGTTCCTGAATTTTTATGAATGACAAAATCATTGATGGAAAATTAATTTCATTTTAAAATATGTTGTTTGTTCACAAACAATCCCCATCTACATGTATTTAGCAAGCATATGTGACAATTACCTATTTGCCATGTAAGAATCAAGACCACTTGTTGGTTCGTCACAAAACAGCAACGCTGGATTGGTTAGAACCTATTCAAAATGTGTTTCAACAAATATTTATTTTTTTCTTCAAAATTTTACGTCAATATGATATATCACCTCACAGGCCACTGATAAACGTTTCTTTTCACCTCCAGATATACCCTTGTAATTAAAAAAAAGTTATGTTAACAGTTTTTTTTTTAATGTTTACCTACCTTAACTTTTCCAGGTATTCCCACCATGGTGTTTTGAGATTTGAGCAAACCAAGCTAAAAAATTATTTGAAAAATTAAAAATTAAAATATTGTAATTGTTAAAAAATACTTTGTTTCTCAAAATGGAAACCAATTATTAAAATTCTGAAAATTAAAACTGCAACATTTATGAAATGCTGAATTATAAAATCATATTTCAATTATTGTTTGAATGAGTTAGTTATCAGGCTTAAAGTTTTTCTTCAGAATTTATATTCACCGTTTTGATTACATGATCCACTGTTTCCATTCTCTCCTCTATTGGGATGATGGAATCCATTCGTAGCATTGCCTACAGGGTGGTAATCATAAAAGCAATTTTCACACATGTTTCTACAGATTATTCAAACTCTTTTGATCATTGCAAAAAAATGGAATACAACAGCTTTAAACTGAACATTTTAATGATATTTTGGTTCTAAACAAACTTTAAAACAAAAAATATCAAAAATTTCAAGCTGTCAGTTTTTTCCTGCTTCTTGACATACCTCACTTTAAAATTTTAACAGTTTATTTTTTTCCGATGCAATGGGTCGGGTAGAGAGATGTGAGGTAAGTGCAAACAAACTGAAAACTTAACTTGATAATTTTGTTAAGTGTCTGAAAATTGTATAATTGTAAATCATCTGAAAAATGTATTTAAAATGTAAAAATATCCAAAAGCAAGTTTTTCTCAGAACTTTTCATTCTCGGTACCTTTATTATTGAAGTCAAAGATCTAAAAGTTATATTTATCATTAAGGCTCTGAAAAATACTGATGGATATTGCATATTACACCACCCTTTCCCAACCAAAACCCCCCTGACAGACAAAATTATCCTAACCAGTATGGATGATTTTTTCATGGAGATTCATGTTACCTGGAATACAAGGTTCTCCTTGACAGTTAATGTACCAAGGAATAGATCATCCTGCTGTACATATCCAGATAGTGCTGTCAGGAGCTGAGGTGTTGCCTCAATACCATTCACCGTCCATGAACCTTCTACCTAAAAACATATGTGGAGACATACATGGATAATGCTGTCAGGAGCTGAGGTGTTGCTTCAATACCATTCACTGGTCAGGAACCTTCTCCCTAGAAACATTCATTGATAATGCTGTCAAGAGCCATTTAAATTCCAGGCACCTTCTACACATGAATATATATAGATAGTGCTGTCAGGAGTTGAGGTGCTGCCTCAATACCATTCACCATCCAGATACCCTCCACCTAGAATTTTAGATGTATAGTGCTGTCAGGAGCTGAGGTGTTGCCTCAATACCATTTACTGTCCAGAAGCCTTCTACCTAGAAACATACATAGATAGTCCTGTCATTAGCTAAGGTGTTGCCTCAATGCCAATCACTGTCCAGGAACCTTCTACCGAGAGTCATGTCACTAGCTAAGGTGTTGCCTCAATGCCATTCACTGTCCAGAAACCATCAACCTAGAAACATACATGGATAGTGCTGTCAGGAGCTAAGTTGTTGCCTCAATGCCATTCACTGTCCAGGAACCTTCTACCTAGAAACATACATGGATTATTTGGATAGTGCTGTCAAGAGCTGAGGTGTTACCTTAAACCCATTTACCTTAACTTCTATCACCCATTAACTGATTTTGGGATTGGTTGTATTAAGATTGGGATGACAACCTTATCAGTAGGAAAACCCAGGTAAATTTGCATGTGATTTGACAAAGATATAGCTGTCACTACCATACGATCTCCTAACCCTCAAAGAGGAAATTTTATTTTCTACTCAACGAAAGGAATCTGTTTAGTATAAAGATATTTCCTAACCAAAAACCGTCTACCTAGAGAAATAAATGGATACTAGATATTAGAACAGTTGCTTCAAAGGGGGAGGGAGAAATGTATGTGTGTTTCCAGAAAACCATTGATCTATAAGTCATTTAATGGACTTCTTTTTTACAGTGTATACCTGCAAATTATCTGTATTCCTGTAGAGTAAAGAGTTAAGCAGCGTAGATTTTCCAGCACCACTAGATCCCATGATAGCCAGTAATTCCCCAGGACGGGCTATCCCACTTACTATATAATCAGAACATATTAAGAGCACTGACTTCCAAATTTTAAATATTGCTTTTAAGAAAAGTGAAAAATTTATTTGAGTTGTTTAGCATGTTTGGTTCCTTTTTTAAAGACACTACACAAGAAATGTTTGTGAGGTTTCTATGACTTTTTATTAACTCACCACCATTCAAAAGTGTTTTAGGTCCTGAGCACCCCTTCTTTTTCACCTCCTGTATGTAAGCAGATAAATTGATATTTGGTAATAATTGTTCGAAATAAAAAATTTCTTAGGAATATTTTCTTAATTGGCAGTACTTTTTATAAAACTTTCAAAGGGTTAACTTTTCAAAATAAAATCTTTGAATTGGCTTATTATCAATGCTTTAACAATAGAACCCTGCCTTCATAGCTTATCCTGATTGTTTTACATTCCAAAGAGGAAGAGCGTACTAAATTCAATTTGCATAATAACTTTTTTTCTAATTAGGATTTTCACACAATGAACTGAATTTTTTAGAGTTGCCCTTAGGAAAGAAACCTTAGAGATAAGTTTTAAGTTTTGAGGAAATGAAAGGGCCCACAGATCGAGATCAAGTGTTCTGGATTCTGAGTCTCCCAACACAAATGTTCCCAGTTCTAGAGGGAATGAAATTGATACCTGGGTATAGACATATATATCCTGCCAGGCAAGGGTCACCCCTTGCTCCACATTCAACCGACTCTCCTGTATTGATAATATATAATTTTAACTTTATTCTTTTCTTGTCAAACATGAGTATAGGGTATATAGACCATGATTAGAGATGGGCATCAATTTTTTGAATGAACAACATTTTTTGTGGAAATAAAAAGGGTATTGCTCAGAAAAAAACAAATGATGGATGAAAGAAATTGAGATTTCAGAGAAATGAAAAAAAATTATTGTTTTTTAAACGAACAAAAAAAACTAAATCAAAATATTTAAAATTGTTCGAACAATCTTGATCGATTTTTTACTAAAAGATTTTGAAAAAAAAAAATTCTTTTTAAAAAACAAAAGCTTTTTACTGAAAAAGCAATTTTTATTTCTAACATTCTTTTTTATAAAAAAGCTCTTAACTGAAAAAAAAACTATTGTTATTTACTGGACGAACAATTTTATTAAACAAATGATTTTTTTCTGAATGGTCATTTGGTGAGAAAATGAACAAATTAAATAGAAAATGAATGATAACTTTGAGAACAAAGGAAATGAAAAAATGCCAAACGTGCCCATCTCTATCCCTGATGTCCTATATCTATTAACTAATCTAAATATATATATATACTTTGCTTGTCTGTTTGTATCTGTTGCTATCCAATAATCTTAAAAACGGCAAACCCGATAGGGCCAATTTTTTTCTGTGGCAACTCATATGACCCCATGCAGGAAAGGTTTTAATACAACTGGTGAAATTTTAGAATGATAAAAAATAAAGACAAATTTGAGAGCAATAGTTCAAATTTAAAATTAGTTAAGAAATTGGGTGCGAAGAGCCCTACAATTGTTTTATGAGAAACTTCTTTAGTCTTTTGTATTGGTTGAAAACTTTATCTAAAAACGCATGTTTTTTCAGTTCGACTGAGAGCCTGAGACCTTACTACTCAGCCCATCTGAACTTGGTTCTACTGCCTCTACCTGATGTGGGTATTGCTCATGATGCTCTGGTTCATCATTATCATGCAAATGATGCTCTTCATGATAGGTCTCCTGTTCATTATCTAATAGACCTAAAAAAGAGTATACTTATTGGATAGACTGTAGAGCGTAGAAGTATTGGATAGACTGTAGAGCGTAGACGTATTGGATAGACTGTAGAGCGTAGACGTATTGGATAGACTGTAGAGCCTAGACGTATTAGATAGGCTGTAGAGCCTAGACGTATTGGATAGACTGTAGAGCGTAGACGTATTGGATAGACTGTAGAGCGTAGACGTATTGGATAGACTGTAGAGCGTAGACGTATTGGATTGGCTGTAGAGCGTAGACGTATTTTCAAATGACTCCATGGTTTCTGCACTTCACGTTTACCCTTGTCTAATTAAAGTGACTGTAGTAAGTGTAATTTCAACTGACCCTTAATGCAAAGATTGAAATGCCTGATTCCCAATGGTACGCTTAAAAACTTTCAAACCTAGCATAACAACAATATCTTCCATTGTCTAGATAAAGTTCCAAGGGTACCGTTGTGAATCGGGCATTACCATCTTTGAACATTACGCTTACACTTCCTTTCCGGTTGATGTAAATAACGTCGTTTTCTGCCTTTAAAAGTGATAAATTCTGTTAATTTATTCCATATATCTGTAGCATAAATCTGTCAGTAACATTTATAGAAACACCACAATTGAACAAAATCAATTTTCTGTCAGAAAAAGAAGAAAATGTCCAGGGTATAGTTGTAAATCGGAAAAGCATTTGAAAATTTTGTGTCCTTCCCCTTTGTTGGGGTCACCACTTTACAACTAAAGTTTTATCAAAGGAAATATATATTCTTTCCAGATTATTTTGCGCTATAAGGTTTAATTGACTTACAACAGCTTCAGAAAGATGTAGAATAATATTATGGTTCAAACGTTCAATGCAAATTTATCAAATGAATCTTTACATTAAAAATTAGATTTCAAAAATCCTTTTATTTGCTTGATTTTTAAAGTCTACCTTCTTGGTCGTGCATGTTATATTAATCTGAAAATAGAGCTATTGTTTAAACACATACACTAGCAACATTTTCAGCATAATCTGTTCTGAGTAATCATAATTTCGACCATGAAATAGACGTTTAGGTAAGGAAATATTGGACAGGTTCTTTGATAGAATAAAAAAGTGAGAATTTCAAAAGAAACATCCAATCTGTCTGCAACGTCTTTATAATTCTTCCAGGCGCGGCCACGCAATTAAAATAAAACTAGTCTAAATAAAACTGCAGGTAAGTTGCAATTAAATTTGTTAATCTAAATTTGTCACTAAAGCTCAAAATAGAAATCCTTCACAGTTTACATTTTAGAAAATTTTTCTAATTTTCTTCTAAATTATATTATTATTCCCGTACATATGTACATTTAAATACATATGTACTGTACAAACATTCAATTAAGGTTTAAATCAATGCGAGTTGTGGTAAGGAGAGCGGGTGTACTTTTCAGGCAATCGCTCTGTTTGTAATTTCCCCAAAAAATATCGTTATATAAAATAAAATTTTAGTTTTTTTGTGCCAGCATAGACCTAGAAATAAAAAGAACTTTCAACGAAAAATTGTACATTTGCTAAAATTTTATTAAACTCTTCTTTAAAAACTTCAACAATTGCTTTGTTCCTTTAAAATTTGCAGATTAAAAGGCATAAAAAGAATATGCTTATGATTAAACAAAGCTCAACTGCATGAAAACACTTATTAGTCGGCCCGTGGTTTCCTTTCACACAAAAAGGATGTAAAAAGATTTAATGCCCGGTTTTGCCTCTAATGCCGTTTATAGTTTATATTTGGGCACCCATAAAAGATTAAACATTACGTGGTCTTAATTTTATATTTGTAATTCCATGCAAATGCTTTCTTTGCTAAATCATTCAATATGCAGAATTACCCACAAAGGATGAGAATGTAAAGAAGACATCAAACACTTTGAATATGGCGTTTCCGAGATCAAAGTAAGAACTCTGCTGTGAAAACAGTAAATTTATATTTTTTACATGATTTAGCAAATAAAAAACTGAGTTGCAATTACAGGATATAAATAGTGTTAGCTTCGTTGCAGTCCTCTCTAAAGTCTCATCAATTGTGGGTATCCCTGTATGATAAATAAACCGCATTAAACACAGAAAGCAAGAGACTAAATGAGATTTTAAAAGTTGGTCATCTCTAAAGTCTCATCTTTCGTGAGTAACCCTGTCTATAAAATGTACAAAATGTTGAAGCTCTCCCAGCCTGGTGATTGAACTGAGCCAAGACAAAGTAAATTTCTCAACTGTTTAGATTTCTGTGAACTATGTAGACAAATGAAGGGTTACTTAAATATAGATCATTATCTTTATCAAATATAGCGTTGAGGTGAGAGAAACTAGGGCGTAAATAGGGCGGGGGGGGGGCTATGAGTGCTTAGCCACCCCCCCCCTTGGTAAAGTGAAATCTATAATTTCAACGGGGGCTTCAACAGCGGAATGAAAAAGGTTTACGTCACCCTTCCTGGACAAATTGCTGCTACTCCCCTGAGATCGTTCCTTCCATAAACTACATTGGTCGACAACTTGACGTCTCCTATATTGGTCGTCAAGTGTACGGAGAATTATCTATCTATTAGATAAGAATTTAGCATGAGACATCTATCAGCCAAAATATCATCCCCCAAAGTACGTGAACTACACGACCACATTCTATAGAGAGAATGGGCTCTGGAGTCTGGACAGAAACATCTCAGGGAAGAGGGAGAAGAAAAATGGAATATTTAGACTTTTTCCAACTAACCATACATTGTGCGTCTTTCAGGATGATTAAACCTACAAAGGTTTGGGGGGTCTGAATCTATGTAATAGTCCAATTTTTCAAGGCCAGCTCAAAAATGGACCGCTAGCTTTGAAGGTTCAGGTGCTGCTACGGAGGTTATAAAAAATCGAAAAAAACAGGTCGGAAAATGTAAATATATTTTTTTTTGACAAATAATAACGTGTGCAAGTGTGACCGATGTTTACATTTTTATTTATTAAAGGGATACTAAAAAATGTTAGTTTTCTATTTATAGCTTAAATAAAAACATGTTTAAAAAAATTCAACATCGACCGGCCTTTTAACCGTTGGCCAGTTGCATCCCTTTTTTCGATTAAAAAAAAGTAAAAAGTTTTTTCTCAAATGTGTCAAAAATGAGAGTGATTAATCAAAGAAAATATGGTAATTTTCTAGACTTAATACACATAATGTTTACATTTTAGGGTTTCCATACGTAAAAATAGCGTAATTTAAAATCTATTTAAGAGTTGGAATTTTTAGACACACGTCCCAGTCTAGTTTGACACGGGGTAGGGGGGGGGGCAAGATAAAGAGTGCAGCCATAAATTAGAATATCTGAGAGAGGGGGCAATATTTTTTCTGAGAACCAGATAAATTTTGAAGGTGCAAATAGGATAAGGGAACTGAATTTATTTTTCAATTCTTAACCGGGAAACAATCGGATAAAGGTTTAATAATTTTTTTTCGCATATTCTAATTACAAAACACGAACAAAAATGTTTAGTTAAAGGGAGTGTTTAGTAAAAGGGATTGTTTAGTTAAAGGGAGTGTTTAGTTGAAGGGATTGTTTAGTTAAAGGGATTGTTTAGTTAAAGGAATTGTTTAGTTAAAGGGAGTGTTCAGTTAAAGGGACTAATTAAAGTGACCCTCCATGCAAAGATGCCTAATTGCAATTGTTCACTTGAAACCTTTATCTGATATATAATGTGGGAGCTATTGTCATCTGATAATGTCAATTTTGTACAGAAATGCTTTGCCATCTTTGCATAGATGGTCACTTGAAATTATTTTCTCTAAAAGCGATTAAAACTTTCGAATTTTAGCAATGTAATAGGGAATTAACTGCATGGTTATAAGAATTCAAAAATGTTTCTAAAACGCATGAAATAGCAAAAACCTCGCTTGTCATTTAAATCATTTGGATCAAACAACAAAACTAGGGAAAATGAACAATCCCCACTCTCCCCCCCCCCCCCCCATAAATCTCAAAAACACAATATTTTATTTTTTCACAAAGAGTTTGTACTCCTTTAACGTCCGTACTTTAAACTAATCATTTTTATATTTTTTCTGTATATTGTGGGTAAATATTATTTTATTACTAGATATTGTGGGTAAATATTATTTTATTACTAGATATTGTGGGTAAATATTATTTTATTACTAGATATTGTGGGTAAATATTATTTTATTGCTAGATATTGTGGGTAAATAGGGATGATCATCACTTTCAGGAAGTCGACGCCGGTTTTTTTCCTGGATATTGCAATTTTTGTAATTTTATTATCGATATCGTGTATTCAATAATGTAAATTCAAAATCTAAAATATTTTTAAAATGGCGAGAAAAAATCAGCAAACCATTTTAGAATGCAAATTCCTGAAATAGCAGAAATTTCACAATCGATTTTTTGATTCCGCTATTCTTTCTTTTTTGCAATATATGGGAAAAAACGTGAATTTTTTCCAAAGTATAAGAGAAACAAAAAATGTATTACATAAATAAAATAATATCAATCGTATTGAAACAAGATAAAAATGAAAAGCAAGCTAAAAAATGTCTGCAAAAAAACGTTAATTTTTATACTGGTAATTATCGAATAATTTTTTTAATGAAAAAACAAATACAGCAAAGATTTGAAGTTGATCAACTGATCAAGCAACATATGTTAATATCGATCAACTGATCAAGCAACATATGTTAATAACGAAAGTACGATCCAAATTACATTCCAACGGCTAGGACTGGGCACGTTCTTGATTTTAACATACGTTCGTTCATAGATCGTTAAAACGAAGCTCTTTATCTGTAGTGTTTGTTCTACAATCGTTCTTTTCTAAGTCATTGTTAATTTAATAACTTTTTATCGCCGTTATTATTCTTGTTGACGAGAAAAAAAATGTCCAGCCAAAAAAAACGTTCGTTTCAATTGCTTGATTTCTGATCGCTCCAGTTGATGTATCAACTCTAACTGCGTTCGGTAATTTTTTTAGCCGATGTGGTCGTTACTGGGAAATCCGGATATTTAATTGAAAAAAATACCGTTTACTGTTAACGACGCCCAGTCCTATTATCAGCTATTTTATTTCTTCTACACAATAAACACCACATTTATATTTATCTAAAAAATATAAAACAGAGATTAAAGGTTTTTAAATATTGTTTACAAAACAATTGTACGTTTTGTGTGTATACTTTATATATTAATCTATGGCTACAGGAGGGCCGGGAGAGCCAGTAAAACTGTGGCATAAGAAGACGACATTAAAAAACACAAGTGTATCATATTTATTGGTATTATAGGGCATATAACTTGATAATCAACTTATTAAGCGAAATGAATCTGTCTTAGGGTTTTCTAACGACATTTTCGTCAAAACACTTCCGTTGGAATTTTCGCAAAAGTGACAGAAGAAATTTTTTAAAACATTTGCAAGCAGTTTTGAACATGTAATTAATGAGCAAAGACTCTAAATTCTGACTACTGTCTCATTCATCTCATCCTTTGTGGGTAACCCTGTAATAAAAGTTAATTTAATATGCAGACGAGTTCTGTTCATCGAATACCGTGTGTTCAATCAAACATGATCCGACTAAAAATGACTGTGGAGCATGTTAGGTGCATATCTTGGGTAAAATTTGTTTCTGAACATTTTCGGTCTTAAATTTATTTACATATTTCTGTACGACTGCTATGAGTAAGAGATGTTATAATTGGCGAATTGAGTAGTGTAAACCAACTGTACAAGCATTTTTTCTTTATCTTCAACAAAACAGTTATCACGCCTGATTATATAATCCTTTCACAAATATTCACGTTTAGAAAAAATTCGAAATATCTCAATATCTTATATTGAAATTAGGTTTAAATTTTGCAAAAAATTAAATGAAAGTTCGAACATTTTTGCGAAAAATATGATTTTAAACAAAAGTTCGAAATGATTGCGAAATTTGTGTCACAAAAAATTTCGCAAAAGTGACTGAAAATTTT